GTCTCGTACATCGATGCGGAGGGATGAGGGAGGGAGATGCCCTTGCGAGCGTCGCTCACTACTCGAAGAAAATCGATACTTTGAATTAATTGACCTACATCGGCGCCGAGCACTCGTGACCTCTCATCATTAGGCTCGCTGCGAATACCGATCGGTACGATGTGTATATACATACATACGCACACACACACACACACACACACACACGCGCGCGCGCGCGTGGCAGCACACATGCGCAGCGACGGCAAGCCTCGTAATGCGACAAATGTGCACTAATAATGATATCAGCGTTCGATGCGGATACGATTAATTAAACAAGTGGCTCGACGGGCGCGCGTGTTTGCAGAATGACGGATTTTTGCGGCGCGATGATCGCGGAAATCGAAAGTATACGGAGCGTAAATATGTAACTCGGTCGCGTGACAAGATATCTTCTCGCGCTTTCGGCCGTTAGTTTCTTCGTCACGTCGCGTTTCCCCATCGATTTGCCAAATTTAAATACGAAGGTCTGCACAGAGAGGGAACTCCTAAGGCTTTGTGCGCGTTTCCCCGTCACATTATACTCCTGCCGTTTTACCTCGCAACTTCGCAGCGGATACCCCGGCGCCGGGTATTTCGTAAGCGCTTTCACCGTGAGATCCCGTTGTCAGAAAGAGAAGAGGGAGAAACAAAAGAAACATCGCCGCCGCGCCGCGCTGAGCGTCGAGGAAAAATCGGCAAATTTTCCATTGGCACCGGTCGACATTAAATATACACCTTTCTCGTCTTCGAAACGCCCGCGGCAAACATTTGCTCGCGTTTTCGCACTCGATTCCGTCCGCGAAACTTTTCACAAGAGGAACGTCCGACTGCGGCGCGAATCAATTAGCGTGGCCGACCGGTCCGTTGCGTAAAAAGCCCGCGCCTCGGCCGTTTTGTTTGTCGTTTCGACGCTCGTACGCATCGCGCTCGAAGACATTCTCGCTCGGAAGAACGACAGGATCGAATCACCCAGGTGGTTAACGAGAAGCCCCGCAGCGCGCATTTTTCCGCAGCGTAACGCCTACCTTCTATCGTACCTTGATGCCGCGAGGAAACACGCTTGTCTCAGGTCCGTTTTTCCGCCGCGATAATTCGTGGTTCGCGACGAGATTGTCGGCAGCAATTTCACTTGCAAATTTCCGAGTGCCGGAGGAGAGATCTCCGCCCGTGTGACTGAATGGATATCGGACGCGAAAAACGCGCTGACGAGAAACGAAATATCCGTCACCGCGACCGAAAACGTTCGCTTCCGAACATTCGGCTGTTAAATTAAGGTGAACGCCCCAATTTGTGCGACAGTCGTCCTCGTTTTCTCAATGAGTCAGCTAATATGAGTCCAGAATATGTGTGTGTGTGTGTGTGTGTGTCTACTCTGAATTTTATATATCATCGGTTATGAGTTTCGAATAAAATTGGAAACTATATTAAATATCTGGAATATCACATAATTACGAACGTACTGTTGATGATCCGAGCTGTTGTGAATTTGTCGGCATATTTAAAAAGCTCGCAATTAATACCAAATGTCTATTGATTGAGTTTGCGCAGTTATTCTCTAACTTCTTCAGGACGAAGCTTTCGATGAGAGAACGAAATTAAACGTCGTTAATTCTGAGGAAATATTACAAATAATAAACTCTTTCCCTACGAATTACCATATGACGCAATTGAAACTTTAAATATTTAAGCTCTTCGACCAAATCAATTTGCTTTTAGATTACCTGGTCACCAGTTGAGACATTCGGCTTAAAACTCGATCGAGGTGACTGGGAAAAATTGACCGACTGGAAACGTTGATCCTACGTTAATCTTCTCGCTTCGAGTTTTTTCTTAGACCTCGGCAGGTGTATTTTGTAACCTATTTGTTACCGTCGCATAGGCATGACATTTAACATAACAGTTACACAAGCAATCGTTTAATAATAAGATACCGTTCTTAAAATATATACGAAATGAAAAGGTTCTCGAGATACGCAATCAAACAAAAAAATTTAAAAACGAGCAGAAACCAACTTACCTCTGACATTTTTATTCCGATCGTCATCGAAGGTTACAGAAATAGATAAACGCACGGCGTAGTAAGAAAAATTCAGTCCATTCCACGTAACGTGGAAAATATTCCGAGCGAGTAAGAAACGCTCGAGCGTTTGTTAGAGTCGGTCTGAAAAAAAGATGCCCTCGTCCGATCGCACTGTCCAAGTGTCCGCGATCGTCATTGTTTATCTAGATCTAGATTATCTATCTGTCTAAATCTAGATTATCTATCTAAAGGCGGGAAGAATCGATAGGTTCGATTGGAGCGTGCTCCGTCCGGTCGCGGAGTCTACGAAGCGCGACTGCAAGAGGGAAACCGCGGCGTTCAACAACGTCAATCGCAGCGTGATGAGAGAATTCAATCCACGACCCGGGCTATCAAGCCCGGCCGTTTAACCTCTCCTCCGCAAGGTTCAAGGGTTCACCTCGTGCTCCGCACATCTCCGGATATCACGTACCACGAGCGTCGCGCGTGATCGTCGTCGCGAGTCGTATAAATAAATCATCAGTCCTACCCCGAAATACTTTGCCGTCACGTCGCGGCCTCGGCATCGGTCGCGATCTTTCGAAACGCGATCGAAAGGCGCTCTGGACGAGCAGCAGCTCGCGTCGGGTCTCCTCGGCCTTTTTCCGCTCGCGTAAGGCTTTCCTGCTTCAATTTCCTTGATTAACCGACGCAATGAGTCAACTGAATGAATAACCTAATAAAAATGGCCTGACCGATCCCTGAGGATCCAAGGATCTTTGAGAAGGGTCCTCGGACTTGGTCGTACATTGGTATCTTCGTCGGTGTAACCGATGAATTTTCCGTCCGGGAAAAGTAGGGAAAGCTCTAATCAGTCGATTGTTTTCAGTTAGCCATTAGAGGAGTTAGTCATTACTCCTCGTCGTCGGATCCTCGTGTGTGGTCCCGGATTGATATTTCTTTCCTTGTAAGAAATTTGAATTAATTTCAATATATAAGAATGTGATGAAAGAGTTGTCGAACACCGTCAGCGTTCCGCGCAATAAAGAAGCAGACTATACATTACGAATCTGCGAATAACGAACGAAGGGTACGACTTTAATACTAAAATAAATCTAATGCGAAAGAAGAAACTTACTTCGTGAAAGTGACTTTATGCCGCTCGGAGGACCAAACGGGGAGCTCGCTTGGTGGGACGGAAAACTCCCGTAGGAGACTTCTGTCCGGTCAATTACTCCCAATCGAGTTCTAACGCGGCCGAATGTTCGGACGAACGTTTGCTCTTGCGATAACAGATATATCGTCGAGTTTATGTGACCTGAGACTTCTCTCTTGTATGATATTTATTTTCGCAACATTAAGCTTTCTCGACACTCGCCGATCGATTAATATTATACTGCCGGTCGCACACCGGGAGAAATAATTCGGCTAGCGAAACTGAATTTTCCGGGGAGAAAGCAGCAAGATCCAACGGAAAACTCGGCTGCAGGAACGGAAAGATTCCCGCAGGGGAATTTCTAATTTTCTCTCGCGAATCGTCGCGCGCGCGCGCAAAAAGACGTGCGACGAAACGTCTCGATGACGCTTCCGCGCGTCATCGAGAGGTGTCGTCATCGCCGCGCGACGACGCCGAATTATCGCGCTTGTTCAGCCGACGTTGTGCATCGGCAAAAACTCTCACGTTTCCACGAATGCGCGCATGCACATATTTTCATATCTATCGTTTACGAATGTTTTTCCCGGAAGCCTAGGAGCGCGCATCGTGCGCGCGTGATTTTGTTGCAACTGCGAATTTGCCGAATGGCACTTCAAGGTAGATCGGGGAGATAGTCGACGGAGCCGGTTTGTGCTGATATGCAAACCGCAGATAATGCCCAGCGAATTGGGAATCCTTTGTTATTAACGCGAGGAGAATTATTTTAGTTGCTCTGGCGCGCGAGCGCTTATTTTATTCGAGTAAGCACATGTTTTCGCTCATTAATAAGCTACGACGCCGCGCCGCGTCCGGCGACTATTTGTTCGCGGAAAATAGTAACATGAGAGGGGAAACAGTCGATAAACAATCAGCGAAATTACCTGCAATTAGTGGACATTCGGAGAGATAATTGCGCGAGACGCTTCAATTTGTGACTCACGACGACTTGTGCGACGACGACGACGGGTGGAAAAACGGATCGTAGATTAACGAGAGACGCGCGTTTAATTTCAAAAATCGAGCGATTTCGAAGAAGTTAGATTTCAGAAGTAAGCGGCCGCCTTAACGAGCTCTTCGCACGGCACTCGTGTCCGTCGCATACAACGATCAAATAAAAACAAGAGAAAGAAATATATTCGTGATGCTCAAATTCGCATCAAAAGTGAACGTAACGTGAAAAGTGAAAGTAACGTGAAAATAAACGTCGAAGTAACCTTTGGCAAATTTGTCGTCTACCAAGTTTCAAGGAATCGGTACAACACGCCGAATCTTTCCCTGGTCTCGGTGAGAAGAATAGCAGCTACACAAAGCCAGCCCGTTTTTTTTAGACATCCTCTATATATATATATATATATATATATTCGGATTCGCAATCACCTAAAAGACCATGCTAAGCCCGAGTCTCTGAGTAGACTCGGCGACACTTCTGCTGAATAATACATATATGTTGACGCGTCGCAAGCGAGTTTACGCAAGCCTGATTTGTTCCGAATTTCACGAATCCTCCGCGGAGGAGGACCCCTTCCCTGTCCCTCTCTCTCTCCTCCCACCCCCTCCTCCACCTCGCCTCTTGTTTTACCCCTGAGAGATTTATTCCCCTTCCGATCATCATGGAAATTTATCCGACGCCGGGAGGAGAGACGGAGGAGACTCGTCCTCCTGGCAAGTTCCGTCGCCGGGATGTCGCACAATCGCGAATCATCGATCTTGAGTCCTCTTCCCTTCGCGAGGGCCATCGGCGCCATTTACCGCGAGAGGTACGCGCGTTTCGTCACGGTCTCAACATTTAGTAGCAGTACTTGAAGACTATTTATTCAGCTGCTGCATATGCTTTTACAAAAATACAATTTGCGCTTGTGCGAAGTATACAATTTTCGGTTCGCCGAGCGATCGCCGCAGCGTTTCACCTTGGCGCTTCTTATCGTTGCAATTAGACTATGTATCGTTCACTGTGTTATCCGAGAGGCGATATGCGAATTCACTCATACAGGTACGCGTCGTAGTGTCTGGATGTTTGAATTTCTTTTCTCGCTGCCGCTTTTTTCTTCTTTTCGCACAATTCGCCGCGGTTGAACAGTGTTAGAGGAAAAGCGCTCGTAGCATCGATAATGTTATAGTAATTATTGGTAATATATTGGTACTTTGGATAGATATGTTGTATAAAATATTTATAATTTCGAATACAGTCGTCTCGATCCAGTCGATATAAACCCGAAGACTTTTCTCCGGCACCATTAGGATAATTGGTCGGGCGATTAAGAGAAGCTGTTGTACAATAACTCCTATAATATCCGTATTTATAATGCATTTATATATCTGTATGAAGTTCAGCCTGACGGCCTCCTTTGTGACGACTTTAGTGTTCTTGTTGCTCGGCGTTGCTGTGGTTGTGCTTATGTCGGTATCGTTCGACGCTGGAAACACGAGAAAACAAATGTCGATTATGCGCCAGCGAATTCTACTCTTTTAGATAACAGTGCGCGCTACACCCGCGTGTCTGTGTGTGGGTGAAATTTTTTATTCCAATTTCGGACGCCCTTCCGCGAGTCGCGAATTCGCGAGACGCGTTATCCTTCTGCGATTGTCCCGCTACGGTCGGGAAACGAATAGAAATCATCTCGTGACGCGATATCGCGTTACCGCTTGTGACGCTTGATAATAATTAACACTGCATTTTTCTAACGAGAAACACTAAGAAAAGAAGAAAAGAGAAAACGAGAGCCTCCCTCTCTGTGTTTATGCAGAGTTTATGATACGTCCGCTTTTATTGTAACGACAGTTTTGTCAAATTTGATCTGGTCTCTATTCAAGTTTCTTCTCGATTGACTTAAGGTAAATGTTTCAGTAACCGGTTTAAGCGTAGGCCGTCACAAAAATATAATATATAATTTTAAAAATAGTTTTGATATAAATATTTGCACTTATTCGAAAACTTAAGATTCCCTTAAGTTGAGAAAAATGTTTTAAACTAATATATATATATATATATAATGTTTATATATCTATTATTAATCTACTATTAATGAAATATTTACACAAAATGAAGTGCATTAATGTACCAGTAACCGACAACAATTGAAATAGGTAATGGCTCAATGTTCGGATATAATTTGTCTCAGTGTTTGACCGCAATTAGAAAATTAGTATGTGCTAATGGGAAATAATATAAATATAGATGTTATCTCTTAATGAATTTATAAAACGATTGACCATTACTTTGCCGAACCATAGATGCATACTTATTTAATTTTTATTTTAATACAAAAATAATCAAATTGAATATATGTTTTTCCGACTAATCGTCAAATATTGGAGATACATTTTTTACAATAATTATTACTTTCATTCATTATTGTTAAAATAAATAGTAAATATTTTTTTTCAAAGTGGTCGGATACTGGGACGTGTCCGGCCATTGGGACGTTTACCTTATTGCTCACAATTTGGAATTCGCCCTTCGCTCATTTTATATTATATTTTTCACCTAATGCCGGCCCAGGCTTGTTTTCATTATTGTTGGTATCTACTTAGGTACTTGTTTGTAATTTATTGCGTAGCCTAAGGAACTCACCTCAGGGAGTGAGAGTAACTCTATTCTCTCTCTCTCTCTCTCTCTCTCTCTCTCTCTCTCTCTCTCTCTCTCTCTCTCTCTCTCTCTCAAAAAGCGTCTGTTATTTCGTCAAACTCACCGGGCTGAGCGATGCTTATGACGAACGCCAGCAGCAATATCAGCAGATGAAAATTCGCGTAGCCCATGTTCCTCGCTTCTTACGATATTGCTAGACGTACACGTGTCGCACAGCACAAGGTATCGCGCTAATGAACTATGCGCGCGTACTCGGCGCATTTATAACAACGCTGATAATTACAATACGAGTCATGACTTGCCTCTATCGCTCGCGCATGCACATGCGACGTGTTTAGGACAGCCGTTCCTACGTTTTACGTTTTCATTTACGCATAAAACGTTCGGCTCTGTAATATTCCCGAAACACCCCCTCCCCCCTGCCCTCTCCGGTGTTACATCGAGCTCGATACCGGCGACGACGACGTGAAGCGCGAGCCACGAGAGGAGTTTCGTCGCGTTCAAATTTGCACCTGAACGCGCAGGCGGCCGCATTATTCCGCCCTTATCTCTCTGCGGTCGTAATTCCTATACATGCGGTTACCTTCTTCGCGGTTATTTTGAGTTTGAGCCGCGGTGGAATTTTTATCGCAATTAGCTGCGCAAGTTCGCGGCTGAACTTGTGATCCGCGTTATCTCTCAGGAACTCTGAGTCAGGAAAGCAATGAGTTCCTTCATTACGAGAGCAACTTCGCGAAACGACGCAGCTGTAAATAGATGGCTTCCGATTTTCTCGTTTTTTTTCACTCTACAATCACACTCAAACAAACACGATCGATTCCATCCTCCATTGGCGTGCAGTATCGACTCGTTGCGCCTTATCGTTCGCCTTGTCGCATATCGCACCAAAATACGTCGCGTGAGTGTTCAGCGGCACATAGGCAAACTTAGATAAAAGAACGAGCTACGCGAAGGACATTGTTTGATGTTACGTAGTAGTAGCGCGAACCCGCCAAAACGCTCGATTACGCGCTGTCTTTTCTTTTTCGCTTTCCGACGAGCTCGCCACGTACTCCGCTAAATGTGATCCCGACCGTACGATAGCTCTTCCTCGACTCAACTTCTCGAGGCGCAAATGTAATCGCCTCCGACGAGTCTTCCCCGCATCTTCCACTTTAAACTGGGAAACTAGCGCGATCGATCGGACTCAATTCGGACCGGCCCTCCCCCCCGCCCCGCGGCCGTCGCTGTCGATCTCCGCTTGTGTCTTCCTCGGGATGGATTTCAAGTCCTGCGAAAGGTAATTTCGAGAGGAAACGACAACGAAGCTTTAAAAATTGCCGTTACCGTTAAAAGTGATTTTCTCTCTCTCTCTCTCTCTCTCTCTCTCTCTCTCTCCCCCTCTCTCTTTCTCTCTCTCTCTCTCTCTCTCTCTCTTTTCCCATCTCGTCCTTGACTGAGACTTCAAGGATAATTAATTACGGGAGTCACAGCGGAGATGGTTTCGGCGAATTATCCGAATTACGCGACTCCGTGTTGCGGAATAATATTCATCGTGCTGTCGATCGCCGCGGATTGGGAACTTTTGTGCGCACGATGCTGCCCGGATCGAAAGTTTGACCCTATTTTCGACCCGAACTTTCTGAAATCTGTAGATCCTGAAGGTCTAATGGGAATTTAATTTGTATATAAGCTGAAGTTTTACTCAGCGCTTCCAAGTAGCGAAAGACAAACAATTTGCCACTTGCTGGTTCTCAAGAACACCTCTCGACGGAAAGTTGGAGGCTAAGTTATGTGTGGGCGTATGTACATAAAAATGTCGTAACTTTATCGCTTATCAAGTTGCCAGAGAATTGTCCTCGCTGAATATATCTCCAAGAGATGCGTATCCTTTTTCGGGCGTTCCATGATGGCGAAGATAATTTCCACTTTCCTCACTCAAAAGAAAAGTATTCTATTTGTGAAGTGACTTTTCCCATAGTCTCATATTCTAAGCGAAGCCTTTTACAGAAAAAAGGATTCCTCTTTCGATAAAGCGAACCATTCATCCAAAATTTATTAGATATCCGACTGTTTTCCTTTTATTTCAAAAGGATTTCCTTTTGTATCAATTAATTTTCCTTTTACATGAAGAGGGTTATGTTGATTTGAATGTCGGCTTCTTTTATTCATACTCTACCTTCATGAACGAAAAAATAACCATATGCTCATGGTTCAGAATATTTGGAACGCTTTTTAAAAAAGGTACGTGTGTTGCTATAATATATAACTAAAAATAATTTACCCATATTTGGTCAAGTATAATTTATAATCCATTGCTAGACGTTGAATAATATATTCTTCCTTTTAACTATATTTCATACAATTGGTTATGATGAACATCTTTGTAGCTATAAAGTCCATAACAAAACTGACTGGAAATTTGTTACGAAGATCTTATTTCATTCGTGCCTACTTATTGTAGAACTGCAGCCAAAAGTGCATCTATATATATATATATATATATATATATATATATTATTTTTCGCTATATATTATAATAATTTTTTCAAATTAACTAACTAGTATAACCAGTATAAGAATAAAGTACAGTAAGAACAAATAATAATTCTGTTAAAAAAAGATTAAATAATCTGTGTATAAAAGGAAATTTATATTAGAATCAATAAGATTTGCATTATACATGCAACATATAATTCCTCTAACTTTAAGAATAATGTGTTTATAATATTTTCCTCTTAATATTAGGGGAATTCTCTTGAGGCCGTATATAAGAATAAAATCTTCTAAAATTTAACTGATTCCGCTTGTTCCGAAATTTCTTTTTTCTTGGGTGCATCATCATTATCCGATGCAGATGCATTTTCATATCCCCGCACATCTGCATCGTCATTGTCGTCGATTGTTACATCTATGTAGCGGCTTATTGGTCCTCATCTATGCAGATCGTTTCCATTTCCGGCTGCGATCCCCGCAACTTCACACGCGGGCGCGAGAAATACCTTCTTCTATTGTCTCGCTGCGGAAGCGCCACGGAAGCGCATTCTTTAGCCAAGTGACGTTCCCTAGTTGTTTCCTCCGTGTACGAATTCTCTCCCTGGCGGAAGACGCGTCGCTCACGCGCGTCACATCCGTGTTTCGCGGAAAGTTTCTAATAATCCCCCAAAATAAGCCGGACAATGGCAAATCAAGTACAAGGTCGATCTCTTCGTTAACCGCGCGCAGGTGGCGGGGGCAGGGTGGGTGTACGCGAATGTGTGTGTGTGTGTGTATGTATGTATGTATGTATGTTGTGAAAGAAGGAGAGAGAAAGATTGAGAAACATCTCTGGGGTATATCCCGAAATCCATAACGCTGGCACCTCGCCAGGAGACGAATGGCGCCTGGCGCCCGCGCCGCGTGCGGCGCTCCATATACGAGCGTATTTCCTTCCTCCTTCACCGCGACGCAAAATGTCGCCGGTAATTGCGTCTTACATAAGAATCTCGTTAGAATCCCCGCGCGTTAGATGAGGCGACTCCTCGCTCGCTTCGCGATGAATTGCCCGCGACGACGCGACGCAATAATCGCTCTCTCACCGAGGCGGATGGGAACACGCGTGTCAAAGGAGTTTCGGACGGGCGAAACGGAGAGTTCACCCGTGGCTGAGAAAAAGCACGTCGATGTGCTCCGTATGTGTGTGATGTGCGTGCGTGCGTGCGTGCGTGCGTGCACGTGTGTACAGAAGTGCGTGTGTTGCCTTCGAACGTGCGGATCGAGGCGCGCCGCTCTTATGCAAATATCGGGTCACCGGCTTTTATTGTTATGAGCGTTCAGGCTGCTCGTCGCTCGTCACCTCGCAGCCTGCACCTTACTCGCGTGAATGCACGCTCCCATGAATATGCCGGCATTAATGAGGAAAAGAAAAGTGCCACTTGTGTGTCTGTGACATCACCGCTATATATGCGAAGCGGTAACTTACATCTGCGACAAACGTTACGTTTGGCCGCTTTGCGACGGTCGAACGTCGATCGACAATTCGTCATCCGATCGTGGATCGTAGTCGATGATCTCCTCCATATGCTCGTGTCCGCCGGAGCATGTAACGGAAATATAAGGAGTTGTAAGAGTTGTAAGAGTTCAGTGGTTACTCACTCTTAACTCGCAATGAGGGGACAATTGTGTTCTCCGCAATACGCTTCGTTTCACACATCGAGCTCAAATCGTTGCCGCGCTCTTTACTCGCAGACTTGTCATCAGCTTGGAAGAAAGTCGGCCGATTTGGAAAGGTTAGGTTCAGGCTTGAAGGATTTTAGATCCGGGCGATCGGGATATTATTTATTCATTTACTTATTTACGGAGAATTGCATTCTTTTGGTGTGCGGAAAATAAAGGTAGGACGGTGAGACTTTTTCTCATTGGCTGATTTGTTAAACGTGTCGGTAAGTTGAGCGTATTCGTCGGCTGATAAACAAATCCCGATTCGATTCAATTAAATTTTCCATAATTATTGTATTATTATTTTTATTAACGCTATAATATTAAGAGCAGTAGATTAATCGATAACACAGTGGAACGATAATACCAGCACTATATTTTTCTCCCTATATTACGTTTCGTTTCATATATTCCCACAGACCAAACTTGAAAATACTCGCGGTGTACCGATCATTAAATTTGCTGACAACACAGAGAAACGGAAGCACCAGCGTCGAAAGCGGAACGGTTTGAGCTTTCAAACAAGCAATTTGCCCCATGTCGCTACGACTTTCCTACATGGAGATATATCGGCGAACGGAGCGAATTCATCTGATGAGGCCCGCGATAATGCTGCACGCCGTCGGCCGAAGTGGGGAGAGGTGCGAAATCCGCGGTCGCGATACAATGTATCGCGCGCGCGAAAATACTGCGGACTTTTGTCATTTGAGACAACAAGCAAATATTCCGTCCTAATTTATCATCTTTTCGTCTCGTATTTACATACATTTTGAAAGCTGAAAGCTGTTGTTAAAAGAATGGATCACGATGCGAGGGGACGTGCGAAATTGAGAAGAATTTCTGCGAAAAATGTTGTAATACTCTCCCTCCGCCCTCCCCTCCCCCCCCCTCCCCCTCACAGAGACAGCGGAAATATTCGAAGAGTATCGTCGAGAGGTTTCGATCGCGCAAATGTGCGTGCAGTTTCGCGCAAATGTGCGAGCTAATGTTGCGCGAGCGAATATTGCCGGCTGATATCGACAATTCTTTTCAGTCATTCGCTGGCATTCGCGCGACTGCGATTGGTATTCGCGCAGCTGCGAGACACAAACCGGCTGATTTTTCCCCGCGGCGCGCAACTGTCGCGCATGCCTCCACGAATTTCACATTGTTTCGCGGTTTGTATTATTAATTTTCGACGCGCAATTGCCGGCTGGAATTTGAGCAGAGCAACACAACTGCGGAACACAATCGAACACACCATGCGTCCCTCCTCTCTCTCTCTCTCTCTCTCTCTCTCTCTCTCTCTCGCCCGCTTCGTCGATGTTTTCATGTCAAAGCGCGTCCGCATCGCGTTTCCCCGCGCGAGCGCGCGTCTGTTTGACAATGTCGACGAAACCGGGGC